GGTTGATGTGATCTTCCGGATCAGCTTGCCAGCTGACTAGTCTCGTAAAGCTAAGCGTCTCCCACAACAATATAGCGGCTATACCGACCCAAGTGGTAGGTCCAACGTGGTCTCAACTCTACGGATGTGATTGGTGTTAGGGTATCTTCCCCAACAACTTTCCTTTCCTCATAGAATTAGATCTGTCGCATAATGACCTGGTCCAGTACGACCAATGGCGGGCCCTAGAGGGTCTGCCCCGATTGAAAGCCCTCTCTTTAGCTTACAACAGGATAAGGTCATATAGGGGGTCGGTCACTCGTTATGGAATTCGCCACTATCGTGCTTATCAACGTCTAGGATTGGATTTCGCATGTGAACTCAGGAGAGGTCTCTTTAACATTCCGGGTAAAAGTTGTTCGCCCCTGTATTATCGTGTAAATTGGGAATCTTAGCGCTTCGGTGAGCCCATGTTTTTCGCTGATGGAGTGTTCAGACGTGTGGAGCCTCTGGTACCGATGGTAAAGGAGGAGGTCGGGAGGAGGGGAACGACTGATGTGTTTCGATCGTTGAAATGGTTGGACCTGAGTGGCAATGAATTAAAGGATGTAGAAGTGGAGGCGGCGGGAATCGAACCCGAGACCTTTAGAGTGTTCGACTTTCAGCTAAAGCGATTGCATGAGAGCTTGACGATGCTACTGGGACCACGCGAAAGGACTGTTGTTGTGAGAGGTCAGTCGAATCACCAAATTGGACTTAAAATTTTCTTCTGACGTTTTTCGAGACCTTCGAGTGTTTTGTAGGTAATCCGCTGGCTGAACGGCCTGATTTCCCCGAGTGGGCAAAGTTACTATACGACAGAGTTGGGCCGGCCAAGATTAGATTTATCACCGAAGTTACAGAGGTAGATGCATCAATGTGTGGAGACTGCAGTGCATTAGGAAACAAGCTGGTTGCTTTAGGCCTCGATATCAACAGCGACCAAGGCAGTACGTTTGATCGATCCTCTACCACTACGCGCGTTGAAAGGTCAGCATGTGAGATGATCATCACTTGTAAACAGTAGATGATGCCTTGCTGTAGGGTACACGACTTGTGGACAAGGCCAAAAGATTGACAGAAAAAAAGGAAAAATTGGTATTACAACGTAAGTCTTCGCGTAGAGTGCTGTGGGTTTGGTATGACCTTGCTCATGTAATAAGGTGTGCTCTCATTAGACTGGATAGGTACTGAGGGGCTCTTAGACCCGACTCTGGCAGATGAGGATGTGGACACTTTATTAAAGGCGCGACGGAGGTAAGAGTGTGAAGATCATAGTCGTCGTATTATGATGAAGTGCAGTATAGAAAGTTCCCATATGGGTGTGTCTCTCTCACTAAATCGGGAGTAAAAGTCTTTGAAAACAGGAAATGTTAGTTCGGGAGTTGGTCATCATGCTCACAGGCAAATAGAGGAGTTCGTTGAGGATTTCGAGTCGGCCTTGTCGGAGATGAACGGCGAGAGCTCTCTTACGAGTGTTCCCTTTCCACTGTGTGAAAGTACGCAGAGAAGACTGAACGAACTGCTGGTCAAAATGGACGGCGAGACAGTTGAAGATTCAGAAACGGAGGAGGTTGAAGATTCTTGTAATGGTAGCTCGTTCCTGTCGTGGTAGCTAACACGAGTAGGTAGTGCTAGTAAGGAGGACTATGATGATGTTGGTGAGCATCAGGGAAGCATGCTTGTGGTGAGGTCGGGTTCAAGATGTACCGCAGTAGGGCAAGTCAATACCAGGCCGGTGGGGATGATGATGCTGATGACAATCTTGAATATGCACATGCTCAATGACGTGTGTTGGTGACAATATGGAAATTCTGAGGATTTTTTTCTATTCATACGAATTCGGATAGGAGTGCTGGGCAACCAACAAAAACTTACTGAAATTTCTCTAGAGTTTTTATATTTTGACCAACACACGTAGTTGACTATGCGCATATTTTCCCATGTTGCTGGACTCCATCGTGGCATGCAGGGCTGAGTAGTGAATGATTCTTAGGGGGAGGAGCCGCCGGTGCTGAGAGTCTCGTCTGACGAGTTGCAGTCGGCCCCTATCACCCAGGTCGACACTGCTATGGCCTTTATAACGGACAAAAGCTCTGGTGTTCCGTTCCGCTCGAAGCATCGAGAGCCTACTGTAGGGCGCAGTCGAGTGAGTGTTGGATGGTGATGATCAGGTATCGGATGTGACGGGGGCACTCGGGGCAATGCGAATGTTACGTGAGGCGGAGTCGAAGTATAATGAGACCATGTTGTTGTGCGATTGATGGTATTGGTATTGTTCTATGAAGAAGAGGTGTTTGTGTTCAAGCAGTGTGGGGGGATATGCACGTGGTCAAGTACGTGTGTTGGTGACAATGAGGAAATTTGGGGAATTTATTATTAGTTTCTGTACGAATTCTCATGTAAACTTCTATAGTGAGTGAGCGAACTCATTAGGTCAGCTAAAAGAAGCGAACAAATACACCAATACTGACTCCATACATTCGCTCATGGGTCTTAGTGCTCGCAAGGGGGGACTTCTCATATGATCTGATTTATACCACCGGTTTCGAAAAAAAGATCCACCGAAGGGTTAGGAGCATACCTGGCTCGGTACCTCAGTCGTCTTTTGCTATTATGGTTTCTTCAAGTCCTCTCTGTGCAAGCAGTGCGGCAGTTGCGAGCAGTGCCGCGTCAATCTCCTGCAAGAATGCTTCCTCTGATGTTCTCTGCCGATTTGGCGTTATCGCTGATGTGCAGTATGCCGATAAGGACGACGCTTATAACTTCGCTAAGACGAAAGTCAGGTGGGTGCGAGCATTTTCGGTGAAAGAGTGGTATTCACCGTCTCAGACACTATCGCAAATCGGTCGAGACTCTTGCTCGGGCAGTAGACTGGTGGAACTCCTTACAGTAGGAGAGCCGTTTTTATGAGGAGTATTGCAGCTCTCGATGGTTTAGGTCGCCCTGTGTGGATTTCGTGGTGAATCTCGCGGACTTGATCGATGGTCATAATCGCGGAACCAACACTGAGAAGGAGGCGATGGCAACCGTTATGTCAGAGCTGGAGAGGCTGAAGTGTCGGAATAAGGCGAGAATGGCCCGGAGATTGGATTTGGAATTGGTTTTGGTTTTGTCTTCAGCTTGTCCACATGGTTGGAAACCACGAGCTTTATTGCTTCACGAGGTAGGTCCCTGGTTCGATCCGCGGGTGCGGCATCTAGAGTGACTGGTGACTTCTCAGGACCGAGTTAGCGAAGCCCCAAGTGTTCCCTCCGACACAACTCTCATACGCCCTCTCAAGACCTCCATCGCTTGCAGACTCGGTATACCCAACAGGTAGGAAAGTCCAGACACGGAATTTATCGCTCACCGTTTATATCAGGCGATCCCTCAACGTTTTACTACTCCTTCGTACCTTGTCCAGGATGGCGCATTGTGATACTGGACCCGTACGATCTGAGTGTTATGCGAGAAGGAGGCGGCCGCCACGGCATCGAACTGGTGCGCCTTCATAAAACGCTTACGTCAACGCCTTCCTTGTTCAGTTGAAAGGCCACGGTTTGGACCCTGAGGGGACAGCGTTGTGTCAGAGTCACAACCCGAACGATATTGGTAGGGTCCTCCCAGAAGGTTTCCCATATTGCTGTACTGGTATTCAGGCATACAGAAAGATTTCTTTCAAGGTCTGCAGGGCCTCGAGTCCCGCTGGGTGCCATTCAATGGTGGCTTTGGCAAGACGCAGGTGGACTGGTTGCGCAATCTACTGCATGGATGCCACGAGGATGAAACCAACGTAGCGTTAAATCGGCAATGGCGCCGACCAAGGCGTGTGTTATGCCTCTCAGGTCATTCTCTGTTCTCATGTTGTCATACACCCAGAAGCCACTTATGAGGGTAACTGTCGAACACTGGCATGGAACTATGAGGATATTCTCAAGGTATGTAGCGATATGTTATAGACTATATCCAGTCATCAGCCATGTATCCTTTCAATGGACTTTCACCCGTAAAACGCGAACTGGCATTTTACGCGAAGTGAATATCGCGAAAATCGCGATGTGTGAAATGTGTTTTTCACAAGTGTTTTCCATATCACGGGTGAAACACCAATGACCTATGTTCAGGCTATGTATGATTTCCCTTGCACCAAGCTGGTCCTCTGCGGTCACCTACATCGAGAGATCTACTATCAAGATGACTATAGTAGGACTGTTCAATAATGCGGAAGTTCGTGAGGATCTCATTCCTCAGGCATCCATCACTACTGCTTGCCGAGCCCTATGGAGTGGGACGCTGACGAGTGCGCTGTTACCTGCGACATAATGTCCTGTGGCGATATTCGAGTGACTGCTTCGGGTGGGATCAGCGACCGATACTTCAAGTGCAGCAATTAAAAGGGATGTCTGTTGATTAGTTAATGATAACTGTCCATTTTGTTACTATACACTGTTTCCTGCTGCTGCTGGTAGTTGCGGCGTGTTACAATACTGTCAGCCTAGTCCTTGAGTTAATCTTCTCACGGTGTCGTAACACTGCTTACCTCCGCTTTTCGATGAGGCTTATTATCGTTCCTACATCCCTTCGCATGGCGTAAAGGGACTTAGGCTGCCAGCAGGCGATCTCTCAGTCAATATCATCACTGAGTCTCCTTGAGTAGTCTTCATGATGTGAGAATTTTAAGAATAGAACCAATGCCAGATCTGAGCTGTCGATAACGTAGTGTCACACACTTGGTGACTCGAGAAATGCGAGAGCTTCGAGGAATATCTGAATACTTGGTTAAAATAATCGGTTTCACATCGTAGGAAGCGACTTTAGTGAATTCCCTTCCAA